TTTTTTTTTTTCTTGACCTACCTGTCCGCACACGGTACACACATACGCACACGCGCACACAAACACCGCCCACCATGGCGGGCCGAATGGTCTTGTACAAGCTCGTGGTCCTGGGAGACGGCGGTGTCGGAAAGACGGCATTGACGATTCAGCTATGTCTGCAACACTTTGTCGAGACTGTAAGCTCCTTTCCGATCCTTCCCCTCCTCCTCGCTCCCTGCGCCTCTGCCTCTCCGCTTCCTCTTCCGGTGGGAGCTTCTCGGACGGAAGCGACAGACGCTGACTCTTACCTCCCCCCTCCCTCTACAGTACGACCCGACAATTGAAGATTCGTATCGCAAGCAGGTCGTCATCGATGGCCAGCCCTGCATGCTCGAGGTTCTCGACACGGCGGGCCAGGAAGAGTACACAGCGCTGCGCGACCAATGGATCCGCGACGGCGAGGGCTTCGTGCTCGTCTACAGCATATCGTCGCGCTCGTCGTTCGGGCGCATCAAGCGCTTCCACCACCAGATCCAGCGCGTCAAGGAGTCGGTCGCCTCGTCGCCCTCGTACCCGGGCTCCCCGCACACCACGGTCCCCCCCCAGATGCAGATGCCCGTGCCCATCATGCTCGTCGGCAACAAGAGCGATCGGATAACGGAGCGCGAGGTCTCGACCCAGGAGGGTCACGCCCTCTCGCGAGAGCTCGGCTGCGAGTTCGTCGAGGCCTCGGCCAAGAACTGCATCAATGTCGAGAAGGCCTTCTACGACGTCGTCAGGATCCTGCGCCGCCAGCGTCAGCAGGCCTCGAGGCCCGCCGCCGGCTCCGGCGGCCGCAGCCGCGCCAGTAACGGCGACGCCGGCGGTCGCGAGCGTGATCCGCACCGGTACCGCCGCCACAAGGACCGCGATGGTTCCAAGCTCAAGTGCGTACTATTATGAGCGCCTCTGGCTCGATGCTCATAATTCCTGGATATCACATACCTTGGGGGCTAAACCACCCCCCCTCGGACCCCACCCACGGATATCATAACCGACAGTGAAAACCCTCGAAAAAACAACAACAACAACAACAACAACTACTACTACTACTGCTACTACTACTACTACTACTACTACTACTACTACTACCACTACTACTACTACTACTACTACTACAACTACTACTACACCCATCATCAAACGCTACAAAGATGATGGCGAACGAACAACACCAAAAAAGAACAAGCAAGGCACGGAAAGGGAAGGAAAAAAAAGAGACGAGAAAAAACCACGGAAAAGGAAGAAGATGCGGAAACCAATTGATGCCATATTAGTCGCCCTTATTACCCCCCCTCCCCCCCCCTTCTGAAAAACCAGTTACACCGACACGATTCAACTTCTTCACGATGCGAAATATTGTGGCTAGCATATCTGATTTGGGCGATCTATATTGTTTATTTACTCTCATTTTTTTTCAACAATTTTTTTTGTCTTCTATTTCCTTTGTCTTTGGATATATACATCTTTATTCGTTCATTTTCTTCCTTTTCATCTCTACCATGTTCTATTCTCACGGCTACTTCTCAACTTGTTGAAAGAATATTGAGAGACAGAAGAGATTGGGCAGGTTAAGCAGGAAGCCAGAGGGAAGAGAAGAGGAGAGGGAGAAGGAGAGGGAGAAGGAGAGGGAGAGAGAGAGAGAGAGAGAGCAAGGTATTATTATTCCATGATACATTTTTTTTTTGGCGAATGGCGCATGGGGATTCCCCCGAGAAGGAAGATGGAGATACATGATGTATATATTTATTTATCTATATATATACATAGATATAAAAAGCTTTGTCAGTCTCTCATTGTGTGATGCCCTCCGTGTCGTCTGTCTATCCTCTCTGTCCGTCTGCCGGTCAACGGTCAAGGTCAGCTGTCGAGAGCGAGAGTGAGCGGGATAGACACGTCCCACCCATCACGATCACCAACCCAGTCACGTATGGATGTTTCCTTCTTTCTCTTCTCTCTTCTCTTCTCTTCTCTTTCCTAGCCTCCCCCCCCCCCTTCTCTCTCTCTCTCTCTCTCTCTCCCTCCATTTCTCTCCTTCTCCCTCTCCTCTTCTTTCTTTTTCTTTCTTCTTCCTCTTTTCTTTCCCAGTCATTGTCATCACCCTCTACAACATCATCACTCGTACGATTTCTTATCAAGCGGTATCCCTCACCAACTTTTACCTGTATCACTCTTCCTACCCCTTCTAAAACATCTATCCCGACCCTGCCCTGTCAAGTGTCAAGCATCTCCCTCTATGATAGATTAAAAAAAAAAAAAAGTCGGTAATTGATAATTGTATTCCATAGTACCTCCATTTTAATTTTTTTATATATCTTTATTTTAAAAACGGCAACCCTGGCGTCCTGCCGGGCCTGGACAGGTTCAGTATCCCTGCTGAAACAGCTAGGTGACAGGGGTACACACAAGGCTTTCTTTTCTCTTCTTTCCTTTCCTTTCCTTTTTAAATTCTCTCTCTCTCTTCTCAAATAGGATGCTTGTTCTATCCAATACCCTTTTTTTTTCTTTCCCTTTTCCCTTTCCTGCGTTATTATTACTTATATTAACCTACCGAGGTATCGGAGTAGTGATGATGATGATGTATGTTACCCGTACTCGTACTCGCGGACGAAAACCAACCACCCCCTCCCCCCCCCCACCCCACCCCACCCCACCCCACCCTCCAAAAGAACATGGCAAGCACGTGCCGCATATTACTCCTACACAAAAAAAGAAAAAAAAATAGATCAGAGCAAAGAAGAAAAAGGGGCCAGAGCGAAGGAGGGGGAGAAGAAGAAGAAGAAGAGATCAAAGCTCGAAGCAACACAGAGCATGGCAGAACAAATCTAAGCATATCTTCCTCATCTTGCCTGCTCTATCCGTTCATGACTGGTAGATGCTATTACCGAATTACCGATGTGAATGGACCACTTGACATATTTCATCTGCCCACCGGACGGGGAAAGAAAGCAGAGAGATGGAATTTATCTATTGATTTTATTTATTTAATTCTACTCGTGATATTCATTTTTATAAATCTCATTGGCCCCCCCCCCCTGGTCTCTTGACAGATTTTGACAGACTTGACATGGTCAGATTCCATCTTTATCCATACCTATGGGCCGGAAGGACTTCCGCGGGAAGGATGCAAATTAAAAATGAAATCGTGTGACGATGTTGAATACTTTGTCGGTACGGGCATTTAATAAAATAAAATAAAAACCCCGTATCAACAGGCAATATTTATTACTCGTACTGATAACTACCAGTACAGGAGTATCGTACACAACAAGCATTACAAAGTAGGATGTTGTCCTACAAGTACGGGTAGATGAGGGTAGACGTCGTACTTTTTACTATCATTATTATTGTTATTATAAAAAAAAAAAAGATGAATACCATCCCTGCAAAATTCGTACCAATGCCATGGACCGGGACTCAATGAGACTGAGACTGGGGTTAAAAAAAAACACACACACTTTTTTTTTTTTTTTTGTCTGACGCTGATCTGACTGGTTACCGTCGTCGGTCTCGTCGGATGACTTGCCTTGTCTTGACCTTTGGGTCTCTCGCTCCTGACCACTATCTGGCCCTTGTATGATGATACCAGAGTACGGGAAGTAGATATTGGGGGTGGGGGGTTTGGGGGGGTTTGATGATTACAGACTATATACAGATTACACGGAGAGTATAATAGATAATAGTACTCGTACATATACAGCTATAATAATATCATAACATACTTCCCTGTACGCACGAGCTACGAGGGGTTCTTTCTTCTTCTTTTTTTAATTTTTTTTTTAAAAAAAAGCCGCGGAGCACAATGCTCACATGTAATCTGTACATACGTAACCTATAGGTCCCACAAGTTTGGAAAAGGAAGTTTTGTGGAGTAGAGGAGGTCAAAAGGGGGGAAGGGAGGAGGGGTGGTGGTGGTGATGATGGTGGTGGTGTTTTCAATTCTAGTCGGTGTGATGTTCACACGTCACTAATGTCCGCATCTTTACACACGTGTTCATTCGTACTCAGAAAGAAGTCAGGACTCTCAAATCACTCGGAAGTCTGTACTCAAGAGAAAGAAGAAGAAGAAGAAGAAAAACAGTCAAATCTTGGGACCCATTCAGCCATCATCAGACCCCTCGACATTACCCCAGACGGGATTCACGATACCAAATTATGTATATATATATATGTGTGTGTGTGTGTGTGTGTGTGTGTGTATACATGTACATATCATTTTTTCGAGTTGATACTACTGTACAATTCAGCAGGTGTCTATCAAGCTTACCTGCTCATCAGATGAACTCGACGTCAAGATGTAGTAGGCAGTATACTATCAGCATGACACGATGACAAGTCGAGTCGGAACAAGTTGAAGCGATGGAAGTAGCCGGAAAACATATCATGGCAAATAACACTCCATCTTGTAAGAGAAAGACGGGAGAGAGAGAGAGAGAGAGTGTGTGTGTGTGTGTGTGTGAGAGAGTGAGAGAGAGAGAGAGAGAGAGAGAGAGAGAGAGAAAAGAGCCATACACATAAAAACATCCAGATACACACACACACACACACACAACACACACACACACACACCGTCGCAACACTATTACTCGTACACTCACCACCATTCCTGGCAAGCAGTACGAGGACGAGTAACCGGAACCTCTCAGAGTCTCTTGGGCGTCATATCGATGCATCTCTACCGATCGATGACATGCCGCTCACTCCCCGCTCAGACCTCCAAGGCTTCCCAGTAGCCGTGACGTTCAAAGTACTCGTCTCTTTTTCTTCTTCTTTTTCTTCTCTTTTTTTTTTCCAAATTTCAATCTTCTTCTTCTTCTTCTTTTTTTTTTTTTTTTTTTTTTTTTTTTTTTTTTTTTTTTTTTGAAAAAAATTTCTTCCTGATTGACTCCATGTGTGCATATACTTGTAGAGGAGTAGTAACCCCAAGTATGGCGCGGCACGGGAACAACATC